AAGTAATTTGATCTAATGTGGGAATTTTATAATACTCCCTTTTAATAATCTTATTTAAATCTTGCGGATCCAAACATCTCCTCAGTTTCCCGTTTGGTTTTTTGACTAAAACCAACGCATTAACCCAATCTGTCGGACCTAACACTTTTTTAATTATACCGGTTTTCTCTAACTCAGTAAGGCTTTCTTTAATGAATCTAGTAAAGGCAGTGCTACCTTCATAGTGGGGTGTACTATTGGTTTTGCATTTTTATCTATTATTATTTGGTAAGGTGAACCAAAACAACCAATACCATTAAACACATCTTTAAATTTCTCAATAATATTTGAGTATTCATTTTTTATTTTATTTAACCTATCAATTTTCATTATTAATTTTAAACTAATGCTCGTCTCTAAAATCGCTTCAGTTTTTGAATTAACAACGAAAAAATTCAACAAGTAAGTATTTCCATCCTTTATGCAGGGAACGTCGCACTTTCCCAGAACCTTTAATTTATCACCCGTATAAGAATTTAACATTGTGTTTGTTTTTCTGATTATGTTTTTAGATAATCCTAGTTAACTAAACACATTAAAAGATAAGACATTTGCCATAGCCCCTGTATCAATCTTAAAACTAACTATCTTTTCTGCTGTGTTTAATTCTGTACGCCACTGATTTCCTAAATTTATTTCTGCTACCGTTTCATTTGTACTCCCTACATAGAGAAACTCACCATTTGCATTTACTTTGCTTTCCAGAATTTCCATAACAAGGTCTTTCTGGGTTACTTGATTATTTTGATTGTTCTCTACCTTATTACGTGTATTTTTAAAACACACCGATGCAAAATGATTCAATTTGCCACAAAACTTACATGATTTACCAAAGCTGGGGCATTTATTTAAAGGGTGTTTTGACATACTACACTTATTGCAATTTACCACGTTGTTTTGTTTGTAGTTGGTCGATGTCACATTTCAATGATGAAGAACTTGTACCTTGTCCTTGGCTGATGATCTGGCTTTGGGCTTTCGCTGACTCAATCACTTGACAAAGATCAACTGCCTTGTCCAATTTTAGATCGTCTTCCTGACGAAGACTCTCTCTGATCGTTTGGTTTTTTATCCCATAGGTGATCATTGTTACTACCAAGCTATCTTCAAGTTCCCTTAATTGGCAACGTGTTGCTTTCTTTTTAAGTTCAATAATGAAATCTTTAGTACTTTGTTCTTCTTCTTGTCTAGATGTCAAGAACTTATACTTTTCATGGGCAATATTTTCCATCCCCAAAAAGTGTTCTTCAAACTTGTTTAGCAGCACTTGTAATTTATCTTTTTCTGCCTCTTCTATTTTAAACGTGGTATACACTCGAAATCCCTCATCTTCTATGTAATGTAATAACTGCGCACATTGGGTTTTTTCATCTTTTTTGGCTACCTCAGACGCCACTAGATAATTTTCAAAACGTGCTCGCCATAACTTCCAATTTTCTGCTACGTTCCCTCTGAACGATAACACTGAAATTCCTCGGCTGTCCCCCATTTTGTATTGGTAGTGATTCGTATTAAAATTATTTGTAATGACCGTAGCGCATACACCGATTGTAATTTATTCTGTTAATTTTGGTTACTTATTACTTCGAGTGATCTGATGACTGCGCCATGTTATTTTATATTGTTTTTATTTAACAATAGGTTTTTACTTAAGGATTTTTGGAATTCTTCAATGAAACAACTAAGGTTCTGTCAACTCTGTTTTCTATCTCCCCTGTTAGATTAGGCATCATCCATTATATCTCCATATCGTTAGGTTGCCTACCCCACACTCAAGAAATGGTAAAAGCTTCTATATTTTCAGAGTCGAGTTTACATTTACTATTATTTCTTGTCGCGAATAAATTAATGTCAGGAAAACGATAATGAAGCAAATTTTATCGAACGCTGTTGTTTTTAGTGTTAATCGATCCGTAACCAAATTATTCTAAAATTTAATATACGAAGCAAAAATCTATATGTTGCTCTTCTCGTAACATTGCCTGATCTTTCTAGGTAAGGTATGTAAATATGGGTATTTAACTCCTCCCATTCGATTAATATAAGCAATCGCTGGCATTGTCAATGTGTAAAAGTAGATAACAGTTACACGGACCTGTAGTCAAGAAAATTTAAATACATAACTGTTTTGCTTATCTCCAATGTCAACCCCCCACCCCAATCGTGAAGCTCCACTAAAAATTTTCATCACAAAACTCTGAAGATGCAGAGAATTGAAACTCAACACATGAGACTCCCATCACTCCTGGTTCTTTCTGACCGAATCCAGAATTGTCATTCTCTGATTATGTTACTCTTCTTCCGTAATGCTACGTACTTAGCAATCCCTAAAAGCCTAGCAAACCCCTTTATCTTACATTCCGACCTAACTTTACATTTGAGTAATAATTTCAAAATAGATGTTTGATTCTGCTGCGGAAATGACACCGTCATATGACCGCTGTCGTAAATAACCCCAAATAAAACACTTTCTCTGTCGGTACCATCTGACTTTTCTCATAATTTATTATAAATTCTATTCTTTCTAGCGACGTGCTTGTTTGAGATAGATTTTCCGAACTATTTATGACTTACCTATTATCGAAAAACCATCAAGTTAAACAACAGATAAAAAACTGTCAGCCCTTAATTTTGCTAAGAGAGGTAAATGGAGGAGTAAATTCAAAAAGTAGTGAACTAATTCCAAAAGGTAAACACCGATACAATTCGTCTTGAAATTTTAACCTAACAACATATTTTCTGTGTGACCTTATAGGTATCAAGTGGTATGCATCCTTCAGATCTATCACAGTCATGAAACAGTTAGCTGTAATTAAGTTGCATACCGACCTATGATCCTCCAGTTTAAAATGCTTTAAATAATTGTGCCATTAACAATGTATATCTCTATAACTGAATGGAAGATAAACAGTAGGGTATTAATTATAATTTTGTAAAATTCGCATACAGGTGGTAACAGCTTCTCTTATAAGCATACTAATACCAATAAGGCGGACCTTTTTCCTTTTTGTATTGGTTGCCGAGGAAAAATCTTCTAAAGACATTTCGCACTGGGCGGCGAAGGATAGCGTGGAATTTTTACTAACGAAAAAGCCGTCGTGTAATCCACTTTTTTGTTCTAGACATCACCGGTATTTGCGTGTACTTTGGCAATATATGAGGAAGTAGTTATTATTATTCTATTATGATTGCTGTGCAGCTAAAAAATTAATTAGAAACAACAAATAGTCTTGTATATGTTTATTGAATTGACTATATACAATGAATATAATTCGACAGAGTTCAGAATACGACTATTTTTAACTTAAAAGAGAAACTTATTAACTAAGGGTTGGCATGTTGGGGGGGGGGTGGAAATGTAGAAATGGCTTGTATAGTGTCGGTCGGTATTAATATTCATGGAAGGTCAGGATAGGAAAAGCGAATATTATTGGGACCCAGAACTAATTGTAAAGGCAAGCTGTTATAAATCCTCTTAAAAGAGAGGCATAGCAATTGTTTAAATTTACAGCATACAAAATAGACAAGGCAAATAAAACATGAATTCTGAATAGTTTTTGAATATGTACAGCGAAAAGAAAAATTGAAATAAAGTACTAAACACATAAAAAAAAAAGAAATGAATAAACTAACGCAAAATATATAGGTTCGTTAGGTTTAGAACATCACCGTTGGAGTCTGTTGTTGATGAAGATATTTTGAAGGATCCTGGAATAGAGTCAAAATGTCACCACCAGTAGCACTATGAGAATTTTTTATCTTTGATAGTCTCTTGATTATCGCTTGTTTCAACTTTCAATAAGTTAAGTTTTCCAAAAATGTCAGTAACTGATTGATTCCTATGGTTTCCGGCATCGGTTTCATAGCCGCAGCACAAGAATCGTCTTGTTTTAAGCTGTTGTGATCTGCTTGTACGTGCTTTTGTGTCTGGGAAAAGCTGTGCAGTCATCCCGGTAACTAGGTCAGTCTGGGTCTGATCCACCACAGTTGACGTGTTTGGCTTAGTCTTCTTGCATTCGTTTGTCCGCTGTTGCTGTGTATATTGGACGTGTCTAGGGGATATGCGACAGTTTCTTTGCTCATTCCCTATTCTAAGGAATCGGTGCCATTGTCGAATACTTCTCCATCTTAACTTGATGTGTCTTCTGGTCGTTAACCGGTGTAGGATATACTACTTTGTTGGAGTCGTTGATTGCTGTGTTGTTGGATTCGTATAAGAGTATAATAGTGCAAACTTGCAATACTTCGTCGAAAGGTCCGCTCCGGGTGATCGAACGAATTATATGTTAGCATCGAAATTTGCGGTGGAGGGGAGGCATAAATATCTGTCGCTATAATATAGAAAACGCGTCGAGAACATACGCTCTCTTAGCTTCCGTTGCTAGATTCCCTACTAGTAGCAGAAGAGAATCCCAGCTTAGGTCCAACAACTATCTCCTCTACGGGCAAGACACCGTTTATTAGTTCTCGTAGGTATCTAGCACACTCCTAGCATTTATCTATAAATTAAACATTAACAGGTAAAGCTGCAGTCAGCCAACCTACTTTTCTTCAACAAACTCAACCTTTACTCGTAATATAAGAATCGCATCGATAACGCCGAATGTCTCGAGCTTACTATCGACTACAAGTACTTCCAAGAGAACGGCAGTAAGAGGTTTGACAATGTTTACTAAACAGACGGAAACACTGCACCGAGTGAGTGCGTGCGCGCGTAAGGAAGTTTTTTGTCTACGAAGTCTGTTATTAAAAGTTAGGTAACCGTGGGCATTGTCTCTCGCTAATGATTGAAATTAGCAAATTGCCTAAGAAGGTGAAAGTTGGAATTATTATTATACCTTAATTTGCAATTTAATTTATTGGTATCGACATCAGCCTACATCTTGTTTTTACTAATTTAGATTTAAAAATAACCTAATTAATGAGTAAATTAGTTCAGTATTTTTTCTTTTTTGTTTCAGAGTATGTCTACAGTTATTAACACAGTCGGGAGTGGAGGTGGTCCCTTAAGTCTTATGTCTTGTGTTCGTGAATCGTCACCCCAAGATTCTGTAATTGAAATGGAGACTGAAAGAAATGGTAAGTTATATTATTTGTATAAGTCTAGTTGAGGAGATCGTCAGTTTGAGGAGGATAAACGTTGAAGGGTCTAGGGATGACCTTGTGGAACAATAAAACAAGTTTTTGGGTGGGATTGGAGGGGTGAAAGTGTAAGGGTTACAGGTGAAAAATTGCATAATAAAGTAGAAACTTGCCTAACCTAATCCAACTATAATCTAATTGAGCACTCGATTATTCACAAAAAGGACAAAATTTTACCATATTCGATTAGGTTGATTGAGTTAAGTTTAATTGTATAGACTGCAAAGCAACTGTATCTACATCATTAAAATCTATTTAGATAACACCGAACTTTTGTATTTGATAAAAACTGTACTATACGAATAAAGTGGACAAATTTCGACGTTCGTGTAGGAAAATCGATAACTATGAGAGATACAAAAAAATAATGGCGGCTTCTCTAAGTATCTCTTTTTTTTTAGCAAAATTTGTTGGTGGTTTCAAAAACTTGCTCTCGTTTTTGTTTTCTAGTCATAAACAAAAGTTGAAAATTTTTAGATTTGGCTACATGTCGATATCTTGATTGTTTGTAACATTAAAAAAAAACAAGTTTTACGTTCTTCGGGCACTTTTTTATATAGAATACAGTGGTGTCCCATTCGATGGGTAAGCGTTTAATTACGAAAATAATCTTTTCGTAATTTACCCCTTACATTTTTTACATTGGTTTTTAGAAGGCGTCTGTCATCTATATGATAGTGATCACCTGTTTGTCATTTCAAAGATTCATTCTTCCCTAGTAATATATTATTTGGATAAATGAGACCTTCATTAGTAGTGCAGGAATTTTCTGGTAACAACGAGCACTACTGGTGTGATAGCAACTTTCATGCTACCGTCTACATTAGATCTCAAGGACGGTTTGGTTTCAGTGTTTGGTGTATTGTAGTAGGCAATCGTGTTTTTAACATCACCTATATCATATGTATTAAGAACATCGTAATTGTCAACTATGAAACCTTACACCAGCATATTACTGAGGAGTTTATGGAAAATTTACCATTAGCTGAAGCAAATAACAAGTTCTTTTAGCAAGGCGCACCTTCCCATTATCTTGTCACTTATTTAAACACCTTCTCACACTACTGTTACTTTTATTTAACAATTTACTGTTTAAATAAAACTTCTATTATTAATTAGTTAACAATTCACCACTACATAAACACTTTATCACTTCTTCGCTCTTTCTTCTCTTTCTATCGCCTCGAACTCTTTTACTCGTACTGACTACACTCGATCTCACGACAAATATTTATAGACACTTCACATTATCTGGAATTTTCCGGTATATACCATCTACAAACCTTGTCTTCTTTGTCGCCATATATGTTTGGGTTGCCTACATTCATGTGACATTGTCCCCCTTTTCTTAAATTGATCATCGGGATGATCAGTGACGTCGCCCAACAAGCTTCTGAGTAACGGTCTGTGTTTTATGGTTTGGTATCGCATATGCTTCTGGCCACTTGCAGCTGGGAAGAAAGACATGCAGACAATAGAGCCAAATATCGATGGTCACAAATCGTCAAGCTGATGTCGTAGTTTGTTTATTTTCATTGCAGCTTATGCGCGTAGTTTTGCATGTATTTAATAACTAGCTGACTTAAATGCGGTGCCTACACTGACTCCTCCCATTTCTACATTTACAAGGAATTGACAAATCTATTTGCTGTCATTCAGTAGTCTAGGAAACGGAGCTTAAAATAATACAAAATCTCCCAATTTCTTCACAATACATCGATTTGCAAGAAAATTTGGGATTATGCTCAACTTACCTTCAACTTCAAGCTCTATATTATGCCGATGGATGCTCTTCATTTTTTAGGGGTGAAAACTACCCCTTTTTGTCAAAACCTATAAAATTATATACTGAAGTTTAAGGAGAGTAAATTTTGGTTGAGTTGAGTAATCTTTGTTAGATGCTTTGGAACATTATTTTAGAATATCTCAACTTTTAAATTTAATTAAAAAGAAAGTATTTATGTTAGTGTTATTACTTAATAGAGAAAAATACGTACAATTACATATAAAAATATAACATTAAACAGTATTCGCATCAAAAAATATATGTATACAACGTTGATATGTAATAAGTAATATGTAATTCTATAATTATAAAAGTGTTTATAAAATAATTATAAAATTCAGTAACTCAACGTTAAAAATTTGATACTTGTGGTCGCGAATAACTCGAAAAGTATTAATTTTACAAAAAAGTATATAAAATACTTTTTGTTTATAATTAATTTTTATATCTCTTCCTGTTTTCAAATTATATTAAAATATTTCCATTCGCGAGATGGGGTGGCAACCACCCTCAGGGTGAAAGGGCTCTTCGGTATAATGTAGATTTTGATCCTTAAGGAAAAATTAGTTACGTGTTAGTTTTACTTGAGTTATGCTCCCACCTAATGTTAAAAGATATGAAAACTAAGGAGGAAAAAAATATTTCATTAGCTTTATGCTAATGGTTTAATAGATTCAAATATGTATTAGAATCGGCATACTTTTACAAAATTGCCTTATTTTACAAAGCAGTAAATTTCTTTACCTATATTATTGTCTTGATTTGGATGTAATTTTTATTTATGTTATCCTATTTGGATAAATTTCATACATAATAAAATGTGCTTAATTACAATCCTTATATACTTCGTAATTTATTTTACGAAACGCATGCGACTCGCGGGCCTGACTCTTGACAGCCCTGCTCTAAATAAAACAAAAAAAAAAGACGAGCAGAGAAAATTAATTACAAGAACTTTGATATACAAAAGCCAACTGATGATACTTTTCTTAAAGGTTATCGTCTATTTTTACCTTTTTGAATGAAGTGTAGACTCAAAGCCAAATATAGAGTAATTTTTTACGACAAAACGTATCCGGACTCCTAGTTGTAGGGGATTCAATTTTCTAAAACAAAGTCTTAAACCTATAAAAATTAATACATGGGCATTTAAATGTCATCATTTGAAATATTGACATAATCAAAATTAACTTGTAATGTGAAAGATCATGTTTAAATAAAATTGAAGTGTAAAGTAAGGAAGATGAGTTCTGATTTGGTCGATGTTTGTATTAGAAATAACTTATCTCCGTTTATAATTAATGCGATTGCTGAAACATTTCAAAGTGATTCGAACATCAATGAGAAGGTAGTTGACAACAAAAGTGATTCGAACATCAATGAGAAAGTAGTTGACAACAAAAGTGATTCGAACATCAATGAGAAAGTAGTTGACAACAAAAGTAGTGTTAACGAAATTACGTCTCAAGTCAATATACAGTCAAACGACGTAAAGTTAGAAAGGCTATGTAACAAATCGATTTCCAATGTAATCGACTGCCCACTCAGTAAAGAGTTTTGCTTTTTAGATAATCCATTTAAACTGAGAGAACAAAACGTTCCCCAATCTCATTGCGATAAAGCTAATGAAGATGAAGTTTATTTTGTCGATCCACAGAAATATTTTGTCGAAAAAAATAAATCAACCTATTCTATTAAAAGTCAGAGAGGGAATATGATGTTTCTATCAGTAACTGAAAACGATGATGGCACAGAGAAAATTCATAACTTGGATAGCAACGAATGCTCTATTTGCATGCAAAATAATTATGCGTATTCTGGTAGGGATAAAAAAAAAAACGAAGAAAAATTACTGTTGCAGACAGTACTAAATCCCAGTAAAGATGGATCATTTAGGGCCTGTGCACGATTAAAAAACTATGATTTTAAAAGCGACGATAATATAACTTTACGAACAGACTTTGTTAGGAACATTTCGACTACACTGTTAACTAGTAAACAAAGTAATGATAGTTGCGTAAACCATTCAATATTCGATGTGAACGTCTCAAAATCAAAACCATGTATTGTATCCGAAGTAGTAGATCTAAATTTTAGTGAAGATGAAAAATCAGTATCCTTCGAAAAAGAAAAGGAAATGTACCCAACATTCATCATAAGTGAAATGAATAAAAATGACGAAAAGAAATATCAAGGTACCACAACTGTGATAAACACCGATTTTCATTCTGATGAAGAAGAAGAGAAATCTATGGTTAAAACCCATAGAATGAAATGGTCAAGATCCTTACCAGTAACTAAACAAACGGATCGACCCGACAATGATAGTGATGATACACCAATTATCATAGATGATAGTGTATCTAATTGTATGGTTTTAAACAATGATAATAGTAGGGTTCCTGTTAAAATTACACCTGCTTACTCACAACCTTATCTATTTTATAATTCCGAAACCGTTTTGGATAATAGACCTTACAGTAACAATATGGACAAATATAATGACGATACTTTTTCGGAAAATGATGAAACGAAGAGTATGTCAGAGTCAGATGCTGCTACTCGGTCGTTTTCAATAACGCAAGAAGCGCGTTCGTCATCAGAAGGTTCGAAGACTTTTAAAAAAGTTCGCCAGTCTCAAACATCTTTGGACTGCAAAAGTGTATCTTTTGAAAGTAATCATGATCAAGAAAGAAACAAGCAGGAACTTTTAGCGGATGTGTGTGCTATGTTGTCATCGGTCTGTGAATATTTGGATGCTAACGAATGGATTAATAATTCATCCAAAGATTCTTACTGTGAAGTTGCCACCACTAAAAACGAAATTTATCCAGAAAGCAGCCTATTCACAAACTACGAAAGTAATGTTAACAAAGGTAAGCTCGCAGCAGACTTTACCTTCAACAAGGATAGCAAACGTACTAGCGAAAATGCTACTGAATTTGACTATACCTCTATTAAAAAACCTTTTATGGGAACAAATCACCAACTTATTACTTTCTCAAAAGATTCGATAAGTACAGATACGATCATTTCTTCTGCTTGGAAAGACTCTTCCGTCTCAAGTTATTGTTCTAAAAATATTCAGTTAGGTAACTTAAGAAAGTCATCAACAAATTTAGAGGAAAGGTGCTGCTATATTAACAAGGAAATGCTTAATAAAGTGACTTCTGAAAGCGTTAATTTATCAGGAGCTTTAACAGATTCTGAAGCAGATATATCTTTGAAATGGGAAGAACCTCATATTGAAGTTATTGCGAAGGTCGAAACCCCAATTATAAAAAATGACGTTAAAAACAAATGTGATCATCAGATATTAGGTCCATTTACTGATTGTGGCGTAATCAGATCTTCAGGGTTGGAAGAAGAATGTCAAACAACTCAAAATTTTATAAACAATAATAAAAACTCAAGTGTAACGTCTTTAGAGAAATCCGATGCACTTCAAAAAAGTGTTGCAACAAATTTAGTTACAGACAGAGTAGATATTCGTATAACTAAAAGTAGCGGAGAATTTAAAGATACCGTATTGGAAAATATCGATTTGTTTGACGATGAAAACGGAAAAAGTATGACATCCAATATAACCACGATAAATTTGAATAACAATTCAAGTAAAGAAAATATTTTTTCCTCATCGTTGGACAGTGAAAATAACAGTTATCAGATCATTAATAAAAATACTGAAAATAACCAAAGTAAAATTCTAAGGAATTTCATTTTTCCTACAGACGATGTAAAAAAAGAAACTAAATTTGAAGATCACGGACCGATCATAATTGATGATATAAGAGACATATACATGAAATGTGCACGTGAATCATCACGTTATGGTTTATTTGAAGAATTGGAGGCGTATGCCATTAAAGCATACGAATCAAATGTAAAGTCTTCGAAAACTTTAAATTCTTCGAAAGGCGTTATCGACACAGGAATCGTTAATATTAGTAATTCAAACATAACTCATTCTTTTACTACGAAACAGGCAAACGAAAAAAATCTTGAGGATAGCGATAATGCCCTAAGAATACCATTTAAAACAGATAGCAGTTTCCAGATCGATTTATGCGAACAGAACAATAATGAAAAGTCAACTCAAGATATAGAACAAAAAGAAAATTTTGAAAATCCCTCGGAGGAAATTAAAAGTTGTAACGACAGTCTAGATACATACACCACGAACGTAAGATCAAATACTAGTAAAGATGTTATAAAGAAAATCGCAGTTGTTACAACAAGGGATGTGGTGTCGTCCAACATAGAAGAAAAAAAATTGAAAAACGAAAATGAAAATTACCTGTCATTGAATTTGTCGAAGTGTAATCTTAGTCTAAATATAGTAAAAACATCGAATAAAAAATATGGTGATATTGAAATAACCCATTCTTCACAGAAAGTATCTGATTCTAAAAATGAGTATGATAAACAAATTGTAAATAACAATGTTATAGATAATAGTAGTAGTAAGCAGGTATTTTTGATTCATAAGCGTTTAGACCTCGAGAAAAATAAATGCGAACAAAGCAATCATCTTTTGTCATGTTTCCAATCCGCGATAAAAGTTTTAATAGAGCATCCGACCTCGGAGGAAATCCCTTATGACATTTCAAATAAAGTTAGTACTGTAAATAAAGATCTATTTTGTAATACAAAATTTCAGTTTAAGGATGATAAGAAAATTTTACCACAGGCAGAAGGTGAATTATATACTTCTTGTGCACACGAAAATATTTTTAAAAGATGCATTAATGAACCAATAAATATCTCTATGCGAAATGGATGCTATTCTTCTTACGTTTACGAAATATTCGACATTATTTCACACCTATCTGAACGTGGAGCAGCAAATTTAGATAATTTCCAGTATAAACGAAATGGGTTTGAAGCCTTCCGAGTCGCATTTTGGAATGTACACGAATTGACTCTGGAAAAGGTGAGAAATTTGGGCGTGTTAGAAGTTGTTTGTTCTACCATTCTTGAAAATGGATGGTCCATCGTGGTGTTTCAAGGAATCTGTCATCCTTTAGCTCTAAGTATTCTTTGTAACGAATTAAATGCACCTCGATTGCCACGCACGTGCAATTTTAAGGGCATCAATAGCAAATGTTGGAGATTTTGCGTTGACGATTCAATAAATAGCGATATGGGTTTTATATATAACATGGAAAGTGGTGGTATAGGAATAGGAGTTATTCGACAGATATATAGAACCTGTGGAGGTTGCGAGTCGAGTATCTGTACGTTTGCAGTAGGTCCTACCGATTTTACCGTAATTAATACAAGATTTGTATCTAATGCTATAATAAATTTTGAAACAAGAATGACGGAACTTCTGAAAGATCGCGATGAACCGGTTCTAGTGACTGGAGACTTGGAAAATTTTATTGGAAAGGAACTAAACGGATTGAATTGTATAGCAGGACTAACACCTGTTGTTCCTCCTTCTTTAAATACTTGTTCAAACAATTCTAAAGGTATTTTGCAGTACAATGATTCTATTCTTGTTAATTCATCAATTCATGCTGGCCACTTTACTGGTTCATGGGGAATGGTAAAAAATGGACTTAGCCACTTGTGTATACCTGACGGATGGGAATGGGGAGGATCTGTTTCGTCACATTGTCCCGTATGGGGAGAATTATATGTGCTACATAACAATGATGCTAAAAAAATCTCACACACATCTAGTCATTGCAAGATTATGAGTCGATACGGTTATACTTAAACCAAACACTGAAGATTAAATAGACTTATTTATCCATCTTTTTCGTTTTGTCTTGAAGTTATAAATGCTAATGACGCTTACTTAATTCTTTAAAAAATACATAGGTACTGAATCACAAAGTTAACTAAAAAGCAAATGAAATGTCTAAAGACCAATAGGTACATTCATGTATTAATAACTAACTAAAGGAATCTGGTAAATGAAAAACAAATGTTAAAATTTTTTACAAAAATTTCAAACTGTTTATCACAGATAAATTTTATACAAATGCACCTTTTTTATCCACTTTCGACCGTAGTTTATTCAGCATTAAAAAGTTACATTTTTCATATTGAAGAACTCAAAACGATCCTAATTGTTCGAAAATAATGATGAATAATATCACCAAATATATAGAAATGCAAATTTGACAAATAGTGGTTACCAAATCATAATTTTCTAGTGCAGGATATTTTGTCACTATACCAACAATTCTATTTGCTCTATTCTCTATCCATGCCCTAAATGTCATTTTCAATAACATCTTAATGCTAAATTCGTTACTTTTCTACAGTATGCTGCTTTTTCAATTCTTTCACGGCCATTTTAATATCAGTAACTGCTTAGAAAAGAAAATAAACAAAACCAAATCCTATAATATCAACTGATATTATATCTCAGAGATCTTGTAAATATATTAACTCTCACAATTTCACAGGAAGAAGCACAAGTTTTTTATAAGGCAATTTAATTTTATTTGCAAAGCTCTTCTATGATTGCGAATCCAAAAACTGCCTTTGAATCAGTGACTGTCATAAAAATATAAAACATATATCCCGAGAAATTGTAATTAAATAACCACACCTAATAAAATTTATTACTAATAGATAAATATTTCTCTTATATTTCCTCCTGTCATGCCATCACCAAAATTAGAAAAGGAAGTAATGACACTAGAACCTAAATGAGAATTGTCTTTCTTTGTTGCATCACCATTGGTTGTATTCAATAAACATGCCCCCCAATGGGCAATAGACTTTTTTGATTTCTAGCAGTGATTCCGAATTCAGTAATTATTTTATTCAAATCAACTGTTAAAGGTGGTAATGGCGGTCCGTAAGGTATTGCACGTTTCTTCACTTTTACAATCATTTGTCGGCCTTGCTTCTTATAAATTTTCTACATCTGACTCATTCAGTGTTGGCAGATGCGTGAAAGCATAATATTGTACCAGGGCCGTAGAATTATTGTATTTTTGTAATTATCGTAAATAGTTAACTAATTTTGTTTTAAAGCTATCTACAATATTACCACATGGAAAAATTAACCACCCATATAAATTATTGCAGTTAATTATGATAGTTAATTTTTTTTCAGGATTTGAAATTCAGTACATAAAAATTGGCGGATGATTTGGATTTTTTAGTTTGAACATTATGAATAACTAGAGATATAATAGATATGATAAATATTGGAATAGTGATTCGAAAAGTAAACGCTGTATTTTATTCGTTTATGGTAACGTGCCTACCACGTTGAGCACTGTACTACAGATGGCGTTTACAGCGCCATTTGTCGTAGTTTCTAAAACGCGCTGTTAAGGTAGCAGGTAAAAATTGGTCTGTGTTCTGTCGGGCTGCCTGCGACGCGCTGATGAGATCCAAAAAGATCGAAATCGCGATCCGCGTCTGGCAGTTTCGACAGAATACAGACCACTTCGAATTATTTTATATTTCACATTGTTGGAGATGAATAACACATTAAATTCTAAGAATTATACTAATAATAAACATAAACTAAAAAATGTCTTTGTAACACTGAAAAAAGATATTATTTGATATATGCTCTTCTGTACAAGGCATCATGAAGTTATCTGAAAATATAAAATAGCTGTTGGTGAAGGCTTTGGTCTTTGTCAGGCAATATTTACTAACAAGCTTCGAAGGTACAAGAAACAGTTTACATAAAATAGTTAAAAATTAGACCAGGTCGACCATTAAACACGAGAGACTTGATGCCCTAACCATGATAAAAACTAACCTTGATTCTTAACCTAAACAATATGGTGAATTTATGGACGAAACTTAAACACAAACGAATTCGATATTAACCTCTATTGTATTAGATACTTTATATTTTATTAATATCAATAGTTTAAGAAAGTTTTTCGGGTTTGATTACAGGTGAGGCTGACAGCAGCAACAAACGGTTTTATCTCTTTCACTTGAGGTAATGTGTAGTGGGATGAAGTTAATTTGATTTAAGACTAATGTTTGACAAATATTTTTTATTTATAAATACATATCTTTGAGCGTATGTATGTAATACTTCAGTTGGAGACTCTTTCCTGGTGAGTAAGATTTCTTAGAAGAGTACACTTTTGGCTCATAACAATAGACACAATAAATCTAGGATCACTATAATATCTTATAAATTTATTGTACCGTGATGGTTATTTTTGATTGATATTTGGACTGAAGATTCTATAATATTCTTGTTCGTGTATCATTCTAATACTTTTCTCCATACTCATCCAATTTCTTTTCTTTGTTTTTTATTATAAATGTAATAGTTAAACCAAATAGTCGTATATGATGCAAGTTAGGTGTATGTCCGTTCCAAAATTCGTAAGGGGTTATTCTGTTTAATAAGTTTACTGTACTCTACCGTTTCTGTCCATAAATTCAGAGGAGCATCTTTTGTATGTAACATTGACTGATGCTTTTCATTAATGTTAGCATTTCCCTCTCAGCTTTGTCATTTTGTTGTTGGGCGTATGGCGTTGTACACTCATAACTCATGACTAATCCCTTATTCTTGTATGAATTTCATAAATTCATTATTTATTATTCAGTATTCACAACCATATGTAGTGTATTGTAGCGAGCACGAGTGTGTTTGTGTAAATGTATGTGTCGTACCTGCATTCTGGGAAAGCAGTTAAACAGTTCAAAAAGAAAATAAACTATCCGGATGTTTCTAGAATGTTCCAGAAGTAAACAAAAGAGTAGAATGAAAGTGAATTAACTTTTTTGCCATAATTTGATATCTGCTTCTAAAATCATTGTATTTAGATTATTGTTTTTAAATTTGTACGTATCTAGTTGCTTTGGTACGCTAGCATAATAGTTTCCCAACTTTGAGTGATAGCATCATTCCTACAAGCCATATAGCAATTCTTTTTAAATTTTCATTCAAAAAACCATGTGTTTTCAGTGATACTGCTGTATCTCCCGCATATACGATAATTAGGTCATTACTCATAGTTATTAATGGATCGTTCATGTATAGTATTTTAGGTTGTTTGTGATTCTATGGAGGGTATCATAATAAAATAATAAAACAAATTAGCAAAACCAAATACATTTACAAACTTGTTATAGTTTTATCAGGAAAAACGCCGATTTTGTTTTTTTTCAAATATATTTAATACGTTCGTACATTACGAAAGATCTGCGAGGAAGGTTATGATTCACACGCTGACTCAACGGAAATCGCGAAAAATAAACATTCGGTAGTGATGTTTATGATTGTACAATGTAGATTACAACAAAACTTAACGAAAAAATTGCAAACGTAGAGCATTACACTTGAAGACAGAGAAGCTTGGTAGGAAATTGATGTCAGAACTGAAAAAATTAAAAAAAAATGTAAGGGAGCTAAAGGTTAGTAGATTAGAAATAGAGTTGGAAAATATTCAAGATATGAAATATTCATAATTAGATATTAGTTCCAAATCATCGAATAAACCCATCATAAAATTCTTTTTTCTAAGAAAGGCGAAGTACATACGTCATATAGTTAGTAAGCCGAGTTGAAATAAGAAATGAATTTGGTAGAGATGAAAAAAAAAAACCAATTACTATGGGGCCAGTTTAATCAGCTATATCATGGCTTGCGTACATGCCCTAGAAAGCTTCTTAACTTCCACACAATAAGTATGATATGCTCCTTCATATTATAAATAGTGTATTATTGTTTCCTTTTGTCGGACAATGTTAGGGTCTTATTTTCACGCATGTATCTCATCAACTTTTTGGTAAAATCTGCTTCTCCATCCATGAAGCTTACTGCGGATTGTTATTTTAAAATTACAAAAGTACAAATTCAATTGTTCTGTCGTCAGGTGCGCGCGCAGACGTTGGTGTCTTATGCTGCAGGTCTGTTGGGTACAAGTTATATATTTTTTGAAGAAGATGCTACAACATAATGGATTAACTTGCTTGTTAGTTAATTAAAACCTTCTATTAGTAAATTAAAATATTAGGTTCATTCTATCGTACTTAGTTACTAAAGTATACAATTTATTTACATTGGTAATTACGATGCTGCTGCATATATTCTTAAATTCAAACTATTCACTATATGTATGTATGGATATTCATTGATACATATAGTAGACAGTAAGAAATTTTCAGACCCCCAGCGGAGAACTGCATGTACGTACATTACGCCAATTCTGAAGCATGTATTGTTTATAATCTCATTCGCGACCACCCAAACATGCAAGCGCCAATTTCCTGACTAATCAGTTTTATTTGTATTCATAATCATAGGGTTGTCAGTCCTAAGACTGGTTGGACACCCACCTCCACTCTTTCCTATCCTGAACTACTTTTGGCATTTCCCTAAAACTAGAACAATCCAGATTCTTAACTATTTACGAACAGTAATCTAACTTAGGTCTACCTCTACCCCTCCTAACTCCTGTTTCTGCATGTAATATGTCTCTGACCAGACCTTCATGCCTGAGAAGGTGTCTACCAACCTATCTTGTTTATTTCTTATTGACTTCCATCCTCTCTTCTCCTATTCTTTCTAATACTTCTTCATTTTACCTTCTCTATCCACAGTATCCTCATCATTCGCCTGTAACACCACATTTCCAACCTTTCCTTTTCCTCCGCGCCCACTGTCCATGTTTCGGACCCGTACAGCGCCACACTCCAAACATACACCTTTTACAACCTTTTTCGAATTTCTAAATTAACCGTTCGGGATCAGAGAAGTGACTTCTTTTTATTGAAAGCGACTCGATGCTGCGCCATCTTCTGCATT